TGTATATTCAATTCCCAGTTGGATACAGATACAATTGAGAAGTAAAGCTGCAGTAAGATGGGCTTAACGGAAGTTTGGAGTAGTTCAAGGATTTAATATGTACTTATGATTGTATCCGATTTCCGGTTTAAAGCATTCGATTTCAACGTGTTCGTTGTTGCTTAATAAATCATTACATATTCTAGCGTTAAAATAAAATTGTTTATGAACCTTTTTGAGACGGGACGTTGTATTTTGTAAAAAATATAATTTGCCATTCGGTATGCCTTGAATTTGCGTTTGTTCTGCTACGTTTCCAATTTCGCCCGACCGCTTCAAATATTTCTGGAAGGTTCCGCTGCATATTTTATCCCTCGAAACGACCAATTGGCCAAATTCCCAATAAATTGGAGACGAAGTTGGAAGTCTTTGGCAACGTTTACAAAACCGACCGTTCGGTCTGATATTGTAAAATCTAATCTTGATTTTATTTCTTTTCACATCCTACATTTGTAAAATTTAAACAATGTTTATAAATCCCAGGCCTGAAGATGATAATAAAGATTGAAACGTTGGCACGATAAAAAAAATGTTTTTCTAAAACCTATGTCACACCAGACCCCATCTCACAATCTTCAAATAATTATAATTAATATTAATCTAATAAGGCATTTTAGTTCATATTTTTTCTATGGTTTATACTACAAGCTAAATATTAAAGAAGTTGATTGTTTTAAGTGTTTGTTACTTTCCTTTATTGAAAGCTAGAAAAAAGCTAGATACACTTCTCAAAGAATTTCTACTTCTAATTAAAGTGGGTTTGTTTAAATTTAAACTTTGTTTATATTTTCATCTTCTAAAAACAATTTATAAGCGATACTTCCCTAAATCGGCACAATATGAACACTATGCCGTTAGTTAATTTTAATTGGAAAAATACTGTTTTCGATCCTGTGTTAAAAAAAAAGAAAATCTGATTGTTTAATGAAATTTAAGCCGGAATTTTTAATAGTAATAATTCGTCTAATTACTTGTATGCAAGATTTAACAAAAAATTGAACTTCCCTGAGGAGGCGAAAGCATTCGGGCTAACGGGTATTAACCGACGTTAATGAATCCATCTGTAATTCTCTCTGATCTTTAAAGTCGTAAAAAAAGTTCGTTAAAATATTTCCAGCTTTTACTGCACTGAAATTCAATAGATGAAGAGGAAGTAATCCAATGGGATAAGCGCTGTTTGTTTTTTCTCACAACACCTGAGAATTTTATATTTGATGAGGTTTTACTTGAATATCTTGTATGTACACAGGGGTATTATATTCAATAAATTTCGCACAATCATTATTACCATATTATCAGCATTAGCATTATCAGCATTAGCATTATTTATTAGCAATAAAAAGAATAAAAAGGGGGCGTCTGCAACCGCAACGGTTTAGGCGTTGACACGGCGCTCATCACTGTAAAGTAAAGGTCCCGGGTTCGAATCCAGCGGCCCTGCATTCAAATCCGACATACCTACAAATGGGCATTTTTAAAACACCGGCACCCTGAAGGTTTATATACTCTCGTAAAAAATTAAACAAATAAAAATAAATAAATAAAAAATGCATACCACTTAGAGATTGCTTCGGTATCTATATGATCTATATATAAAAGTACCTGTTATCTTTTTTATTACATCAACGTTTTATGCTGTAGAAAAGCGTAAGAAATGTAAAATAACCGGCATTTTCATTTTCTTGCTTTTTAAAGGCGCCGAGAAAATAATCCACTTCTTTAAAAGATGAATGATGGGAGATGAAAAGTGGATTCTGTGTAACAATAAAGTCTGGTAGCGATCATGGGGAAATTCAATACATCAGATTAACATCAAACGAATTTTTAAAAAAAATAGAGAGAAGAGGTAAAAAGGTCGAAGTAAAAACTGCATTGCAGTAACTTCAGAAGTTTCAAGGCTTGATAAAATTGCCTTTAGCCTACAAGTAAACCTGTATTGCCGGCTGGTTTAAAAAAAAAATATATATATTAACAAAAGGGATTCAATTCAGATAATGAAAAAACATGTAGTAAAACTGAAAAATAGAGAGTATGTAGAAGTCAGAGCAGGATGATAACTTTTTCATATCAACTTTATCCACATGCATGACGAGTAAATTTATCATTTTAAAGCATCGATGTGTCAAAGGTCGAGCTTAAAATATTCCACAGATATGCATTTTTTAATAGTTGAAAAATATTTATTTTATAACTTCGATTTTACTTGAGTATCTTGCATGTACTTATATATACAGGGGTATTATATTCAATAAATTTCGCAAATATGATTTACTGACATTATTAGCAATAAAAAAGCATAATAACGGGGCGTCGGTGGCAGCAACTGTTTAGGCGTTGACAAACGCTCATTACGCGTAAAGGAACCGGGTTCGAATCCAGCGGCCCTGCATTCTACCTGTGCTGTTACAAACGTCGTTGAAAAAAAGCATGTGGAACACATTAGCTAAAATGAACAAGCATTAACACGCAAAATAATTAACAACACAAACGTATAAATAAGGACACGACCAAACACAACACACAGGCCAGCCACTTAATATGGATAAAAGAAAATACGCTTCTTAATAAAGACGAGAACAGGCTTACAATCAAACAAGTACCAAGGAAAACAGACATACAAAGTAATAAATATATATAATACAATAGACAACAACATCACGAAAGACAACAAAACATTTAAGACAAAATATTATCAAGATAAACGGCATATACAAAAAGATGAGATTCACAACACAAATGCATAAAAAGAAGTACCACACATACAAAAGGCAAAATCTTAGAGATTGAGAACACATTAAACATGAGTAAACTTATAAGCACATTAATAAACAAGAAACACTGCAGCAAAATAAAACTAACTAATTAACTTAATTAAACTAACTAACAACCGACCTGAACAAACGTCGAAAAAAACCCAAACCAAAGCGTGAGGACAAAGCCAACTTCTTAGCATTTAACAAACAAAAAAAAACGAATAACTAAATAACACACAGACGCACTGCGAAGTAGGAATCACGACAAAACGCGCCTGTCAGAATAACCAGTGAAAATAAGCAAACCAGGATGATCTGAGACGTCAGACTTCATCAAAGTTCAATTTTTGATATTTACTAACGAGCTTAAAAATTTCGAAGAAATTTCAGATATTGAACTTGACGAATGATCATACTGCAAACGATCGAAGTCAAATCAAAGATACTTTGTAAAAAAGAACTTGATGGACAAAATCACGTACTTACTAACCATTCAAGGATTCCAGAGGACTGTTACCCCTCTGACTGGCAAGACCAGCGAGACCCAAGGGATGATCTGGGATATCAGAATTCATAAGATTATTTCAAGCTAAACTTTTAATAGGAAGCAGAAAGCTCGAACTTTTAAGACAATTTCAAGAATGATTAAACTAAAGAACGACCCTGTGTTACTGTTAAGTATATAATCTCACTAATCAATAAGAAACAATAACACAAACATTATTTCTTTACATTAATAACAAAAATGAAACGAACACAATAACCGACCAGAACAGACAACAAAACAGGACTCGTTTGACAGAATAACGCACTGACTGAAAATTGCAAAAAGACAAAACACATCTGGCATAATTAACCAGAGAAAACACGCTGCCAATCAAATTCAACGAAAGAGGAGAAGAGACGACGAGAAAAATAACGCACAGACCAATCGATGAAGATCGAAAAAAACAAAATACGTTTGACATAATAAACCGGAAAAATCAGGCTAGCAATCAAACTTAGCAAATACAGAGGAAAGGCGACGTAATTAATTTATATAATAAATCGATATACAAAGAGCACTATAGACAACACAAACTATAGGAAAATAATGCACAAACCAATCAATGAAGATGGCAAGAAGAAAACATGCTTGACATGAAAAACCCGAGAAGTCAAGTTGGCAATTAAATTCAACAAATACGGAGAAGAGGAGATTTACAAATTAACTATATATTTAACTAACTAGACCTAAAATAGCACTAAAAGCAACAAAAACATAGGAAAACAACATACAGTACAGCCATCGAAGATGGCAGACGAAATGTGACTGACAGAACAAAACTCTCGAAGATAAACGACAAGCCCTCATCAAAACCTACATTACAATTAAATCAACTGGTAATCTACAACAATCATTGCGAAGTTATTCAAGTATGAATGGCGCTTAGTAAAGTTTGTACAACATACTTTATTATACTTTCTAACAGCTTTCACCTTTATAAATCCGGAAGTTGAGAATTTAAACTAATTGACAGGATCGTTTGAATTCTTCCGAACATAGTAATGAAATTCTAACGTCTCGCTATAAAGGGAAAGACCTGAATTTGCTCCGATGGAAAAAGCGTGACATTGCTATTCGAACTTTTGCCGCATAAAAAGAGTCAATGTCTGACTCACGTTCTTCTAAGCGCAACAGGAACACAGGATGAAAAGAGGACTTGAATGGGAAGTTGTCGGAATAAAGTTTCCGACGCCGGTGATCAATCTAACCGCCGCTTGTCAAGTCTATAATCTTTCTTTCTCTTGCCAAATGTGAGGCCTAAGGTCATTAAACGTGAGCCGAAGCGTATATTCAGGAAATCGAGGCCGAAACCGTAAGCGGTATTAACTAGAACAGCCGGTGTGAAAAATGCACGTCTGATGTCGAACCTATCCGGAAATTAAGACCCCCTTCTCATGTTCTAAGCGCATTCTTCTTCTATGACAAATGTCAAATCGGCCTAGGTAATTGGTCTAAGTTCCAACTATCCCATAGGCCAAATCGACGCGTTCAACGAGTCAAAAGGGTACCAGCATGTGTGAGTTACCGGGATATTGATCCATCAAGGGATCTTTTGGACTGTGACAGGTATCGCATTCGTTCTGACCAGACACGATCTCACGACGGAATATATATGACTATTCGGGAGAACAACGAACCGGAAAACGATCCGTACTCTGTCAGTGGCCGGTCTGTTTATGCATGCGAGAACAATATTCAACCGCTTCCTTCTTCTAGAAAGAAAGGACGATGCAGAAATTTGGGTAAATTTTTATTCAATCTATTGTTATTTTTTAATAATAAACTCTATCAGTTGTTTATTGAATAACTTGAAATTGATCAGAGATTTCATTGTTGACTTAACATCTGCCTAATTGTGAAATTAGTTTCCAATTACAGGTATCCTTAAAGACAACAAAGCAGTGTAATTAAAAAAAACAACATATAAGTTTTTTACACATTCAATTCTCTTATATTCTTTACTACAGCAAATTAGGCTTACCAAATACAATTAGTAACGTAAGTTAATTTAGGAAAATAATCAAAAATCGAAATGTGTTTCACTTTGTTTCTGAGCTTCAAGATTTATATTTGAAATAGTGAATCGCTGTGATTTCTTTTTTACTCTTTGTCGATCCCGATCTGGAGTTATTGGTTGTATCGGTACTATGGAATTAGTGACGTGGATTAGTCAGTAAGATTCTTTTATAACGACTTCAACCTCGTATATCCTGGTCGTTTTTTCTCTCTGTACATTCCATGAAACGTTTGTTTCATTTCAAATAGAAAGTTATGTAAACTTAATTTTCCATAGCCGATTTATTACTTAAATAGGCCTTGTTTAGACATCATAGTCGTTGACCCTTTAGGTTCTTCATTTTTGATATAATGCAAAGCCATTTGACGTCCGTTCTATTTAATTTTCTATTGTTGGATGTTTTAGTTTTAGTCTAAGGTTAAAGAATATTGTATGGGAGCTTTCCTTGATGCGGCACAAGCGTTTGACGGCGTGTGGCACAGGGGACTCCTGTACAAACTAAAGCGTGTCCTTCCAAATACTCTCTACCTAATCCTCCGCTCTTATCTAACAGAGCGCTTCTTTCGGGTCCGACAAGGATCAGATTACTCCGAATACTGCTCTCTGGCCGCGGGAGTACCGCAGGGCAGTGTGCTCGGACCAATCCTCTTCATCCTTTATACTGCAGATATTCCCACTAAACCTACCACCCTACTTGCATCCTTCGCCGATGATACAGCCGTACTATCCTCCAATTCCGATCCTGCGGTTGCTTCGGAAGATCTGCAGGAACATATCTCATGTATAGCAGATTGGTGTAGACAATGGAAAATGAAGATAAACGAAAGCAAGAGCGTCCATGTCACATTTACACTCCGAAGCAAACCTCCTCTCACTATATACTACAACAACGTCCCCATCCCCAAATCCGACTGCGTTCGCTACCTTGGGTTCCACCTAGATTCACGACTAACGTGGAATCAACATACACGACTGACACGACAAAACCTAAACAGACGGTATGGTCTACTGCACAGACTTATAGGACGACAGTCTAAACTATCGACAAAAAACAAACTTACAATTTACAAAACATTACTACAACCGATTTGGACGTACGGGATAGAACTGTGGGGAACCGCCAAACCTTCCAATATCCAACGCCTCCAATCCTTTCAATCTAAAGTCCTCAGATCCATTCTAAATGCTTCTTATTATGTCTCCAATGCTACCCTCCATAACGACCTTATCAACGTAGGACGTATCAACAGTTAAAATTAAATTCGTTTTCAATCATGCAACTATAACTCATAGCACTTAATGGTTAATTACCTTCTAGAAACCAAATGTTCAATCCTCTGACAAATTGGTTACTGATTGAAAACATACCATTTATAGCTTCAGATTACGCTTTTAAATAATACGTTTTTCTTTCAAAATTGTGCCATTGTTTTATTGTACAGAAGAGTAATCTGAAGGAGCACGATCAGGTAGAAGCTCTATGTCATCCATTTTGTGACCTTTTTGCTGGTATTTCTCAGGACACGTTACTACTCATTTTATGACTACGACAAACCTACTTGATTTTTTCCAGTAATTTATTGTCGTTGAAGAGCTAGGAAGGAGAGATAGTCTGAAGGAGCTAGGTCAGGGTGAAGAGCCAATTTTAAGATTTTTGCGAGGGATCACTCTTTTTCGGCTTTTTCTAACTTGGACTATCCAGGCTTGACTATAATAAACTTATTTGTAATAAAGTGAGAAAGTGCTTGGAACATAGACCAAAAGAGCAAAGTCAGGATTTGTTTTGAGCTTTCTGGAAAATTATCTTGACAAGAGCTTTCTTTTGATTTTATTTAACTTTTGTAAGTAGTGATTCGGACTTGACTACGACCAAAGTAATTGGTTTTTCCTTAAGAAGTTGGCGATGGTTGGATGAGGGGTAGACTGAAGGGGTTCGGTCAGGACGGTTTTCAGAAAAAATTATAGGATGTTGGAGGAAACCTCTTGTAACCAACTTCTGCACATGCTCTTGTAGCATTTTGTTTGCGTTTCGCAGTTTATTGCGATAAATATACTTTTTTGAAACAAGTGATGGTTGATTACTATATCACAAACCAAACACTTCTTTTATCATCTGCCAATATTTTTCTCCGACAATGTCCGGAATACATCAACGCCATTTTAACTAATATTTTTATTTTTTAGGGTATGGACAACCCTTGTTTCGACGGCGAGAGGGCCGTTGGCGGTAAAGGGCTGGCCGTATACACGATCGAGGGTGGCGGCGGAGCTGCTTTGGACAACAGGAGGAACGAACGTCGATCCGTTCGTGGTAACGCGCCGCCTCCGGTGCCCTGCCTACACAAAGAATGGGGAGGTTGGAGCCTGGACCTCGCCCCCGGCCAAACCGGAAGACTCGCGTCCCTAGCAGCAGCTCTCCTCCTCGCCACGCTTATCACGATTGCTGCGACTGCAGCTCTAGTCTACACCTTAAGAAGTGGTAAATACCTATTTTAAAATACTTATACTCCAATAGTGAAGATCCTAGTACTTAACAAATTTCAAATAAATACCCTGTCATCCATACGAAAAAGAATCATAATCACTCTATAAACTTCGCAGTTTTTTCCGGGCTCTCCGCTTAAAAATGTAAAAAGTAGTGCTATTGTACCCTACTTTCCTTAGGGATTACGTAAATGCTCCTGATGGCGGCTAATAAAAACCTTGCATGGTTCAGTGTACCCTTGGAAAAGCCCATTCCATTGAAACGAAGTTGGATCAAACCCGATCATTTGCTCAGACAGACGAGTTCCCGAATTTTTTGCAATATTTATTACAATTAAATCACAAAGTAAAAAAAAAAAAAAGTGTTTAATATTTTTTAGTCTAGTTCAAATTTTTGCCTTTTTTGGAGAAAAATTATACAGGGTAGATCAGGACCAGTTCAACTTCCAAATTTCAAATACGACCCTATATATCCATATCATTTTGAAGGATTTTTTGGTGAAGTAAATGGTGCAATAGGATTTTAAATTGGACAAAACATGACAAAGCTACGGCAAAAACTTTGAAAAAACGCATTTCGTTTGTTTCGTTGTTAATTCCAATAATTTGATTGTTCACTAAAGTAAACATTAATTGACTTTATTGCTTATATTCTGTCATTGTTTGTCAAACTCGCATTATGAGAGCAAATCGTAATTCCTGGAAGTAAATAAATTTTACAATAGCACCTAGTCTCCTCTCTCCAAAATGTCGGAAGGGTTTTAGATTTTTCAAGAAATAAAGTTAGAGACGTACTACGGACTTAAAATTTCAAGCCGTATCGCTCTCATCTTGTCCATGGGCTCTGAATATGAAAAGCGTCTAATGTTCCTTGCAGAAAAGTTGATTTGGGAGGCTGACAAAAACGCTCTTACATACATCAACTGTCTTGACTGATTACAGATCAATACCCTGGATTGATGAATCCAAGTTCACCCCTACGACATTTTTGTTTTACTCTGGGGCGATCAGGAAATTTCCGGGGATACAACTCGACTGCACGCACTATCAATAAAGAAGTCGAACTTAACAACTCACAGTTGATCGAAAAAATGTGCTCTTCGGTTCATTTTGAATAGAATACTGAATGTAACAAATAGGTACTATTGTAAAATTTATTTCCTTCCATGAATTAAGAATGCTCTCAGAATATGAGTTTGACAAACAATGATACAATGTATACAATAAAGCCAATTAATGTTTAGTGAAGAATCAAATTATTGGAATTAACGACAAAACAAAGGAAATGCTTTTTTTCAAACTTTTTGCCATAACTTTGTCATGTGTTGACCAATTTAAAATTTGATTGCACCATTGTTTTCAGCGTAAAAATCCTTTAAAATTTACTAATTAAACGCTACAATTAATTAAGGTTTCATCTCGAGTAAAAACCTTAATTAATTGTAATCCTTTAAAATGATGTGTCAGGAAGTATCTGCTCATATTTGAAATTTTGAAGTTGAACTTGGTTTGAGTTACCCTGTATAATTTTTCTCCAAAAAAAAGGTTAACATTTGAAACTAGACTAAAAATATTGAACACGTTTTTTTTTAAATATTTTTTATAGCGTCTTGGTTCAAGAGAAATTCAGCCGGCCCATCAAAAAGGACACCCTATATAGAATTTACAAGCCATATTTAATCGTTTTTCTATTTTTCAACGTTCTATTTTTCAGAATATGACAGAACAGGTTATTAGGTTGCACGAAAGTTCAATTTTCAATGGTTTTCAGTTATTCGACGTTACCCGAAAAAATGGCTGTCGATGAGTATAGTCAATAATGATTTGAAGTTATGTTTATAGTCACTTTTTGGTTAACACCGCTCGTTGCACACGGTTATGTTACACCCTGTATAACTATCGATGGTATGATATTAAAGCAATGATATATTACCATATTAAAACGGTTTCAATTTAAAAAAACAAAACAAATTATGTGCATTTATTAAATTATGTATACATAAATAAAAATTAAATTGCTATTTTCATTACTGATGCAGTTTTTCTATAATTCTGTACAACAAATAGAATAGTTTAATTTTAAAACACCCTCTTAGAAATTGTTTTATTGCTTTAATTTATACAGGTTTTTTTTGTTTTTTTTGGCCTTACCGTAGGTATTATATATATATATATATATATATATATATA